CCTGCATCACCATACAATAATTATATTTATCCGATAATTGTTTCAACTTATCGATTTAATTCTTATATATTTGTATTCGGCGATTTTATTATTCCATAATTCGGGAGCATTATGATAATCATCAATAAAAGACGTATTTTTTTTTAGTTCATCCGCTCCATGTTTCTCTCTACGACTCGCACCGATCCGTTGGCTGTTGGATAGACAACAACCCTGTTCGATATGTTGAATCATACATTCGGCAGGCAACAACAATCAACTTGTAGCATGCGGCAAGGGGACATATTTTTTGTCACTTTGTGTTCCTTATATGGAAATACTGTGTAGCATGCGTCAATGCCACATACTACATGTTGCCTCAGTGGAATTGCGGCTTAAGGATCTATAAAATTTATTGGCACACATTCCCTTTTATGTAACAGTGTTATACATTTTATAATAAACACAATAAGTAAAAATTATATTATATATAATTATTAATATAAGTAATTCCCAAATTCAATTATGATTGGTTGTAGTGAAAATATAAGATTTCTATAAATCTGGCTGTTCCAAGGCTTGGATGCATGAGGGTCCAGGCTTAAAGAATTGACGAAGCAATTCCTTGCTTAACGGGAGGGTGAGTGTCTGTGTAGGTGCGCTGTTGTGGCCAATCCCATAATGTTTCAATTTTTTTATTGGGGCCATATTAGGGTCAGTACCCCATTTTAGATGAGGCTTAAGGCCTTATAAGAGGACAAACTGAAAGTGTTATTAATTTGTTACTTTTCTATTGTTATTATATTTGCTAATACATCCTAATGAGTTGCATAATATTGCTGCCTTATAATCATGAATTAATAATTATCCAATGTGTCTAAAGCTTAGAAACATGTTGATATAAAAAGAAGGCTTTTCTGGAATGAGGGTCACTAATGGTAGTCATTGAGATTGAGTATCTTTTCTCTTCCAATCAATAAAAATTGAGCCATGGTTTTATTTTTTCCATGTAATTTTGTTAATTTTTAGAGACATTAGAACTTCATTTATCTGTACTAAATTTTGCTTTTGGTTGTCTGAGTTAAATTTATATTAATTATATTATTAGTCTTATTTAAAGTAATATCAGTGACTTAATTTTCATTAAATTCTCTCCTGGGGCACTCTTGAGTACTCATTAAATGAAATAATATAAAGTCAGAGATATTTAATTATTTTTCCTCTGCCACTGCCGCACTTCAACTTCCCTCAAACTATTTCTGCTGCACTCAGAATTACTGCCTTAAAGTTTGCCCATAATTCCTCCAACTCATCAGTATATTGGCTCGAGCCCAGGATCTGTCTTCCACCTTCCTCCTGAACATTTTTATTTCTCAGTTGGAATACCTTAATTTTCTACTTGATATTCTTCTTTGTTTTTTACCTTTACTTTGTATTTGTGGTTTAGGCACATTCATGTTAACTACAAGGAGGTAATGGTTACTTCCAATCTCTTGTCCTCGTTTCAATCTCACATTTCTCACCCTGTGGAGTAATTTTCTTTCCACTATTATATAATCAATAATTGACTTTCCATTTTTAGATGGCTTCTTCCTGGTGTATTTATTTATTTATTTGTGGGGAAACTTTGTATTAAGTAGAACAAGATCTGTGTGATGCAGAATTGTAACAACCTCTTTCCATTGTTGTTCCTAACCTCTTCTCCATATGGATTGAACACTTTTTCGAAACCAATTTGACATCTACCCACTCTTACATTCAAGTTTCCCAACAGCATTAGATTTCCATCTTCATTGTCCATTGCTTTCTGTAACGTTTCAAAGAACGGATCTTTCATCTCCGATAGTTCGTCCTCATTATTTCCATATACAGTTATTAATGTCCACATTTCCTTGGTTTCTTGGTGGCTTAGCTTTGTAATCAGTATTATTTCATTAAGCTCCTCCAGCCAATAATTTTCTTTATAAAGTTCCAGGGCTTTTTTTTTTTTTTTTTTTTTTTTGGAATTGCTTTACAAACTCCATAAATTCCTCACCCCTACATACTTTCTCATCATCAGTTCCTATCTTACGGATAGATACTTCAAAGAAAATCACAATAATGACTATTCATCCCTCTTTTCTCAATCTGCTGGTGTTCCTCAAGGTACTATCCATAATCCTATCCTTTACACAGTTTATACAGCTGATATCCCAACCCATCCTAACACTGTCATCACCACGTAAATCGATGACTCATCTATCCTCTCAATTGATAACAATCCATCAATTGCATCCCAAACTCTTCAATCACACATCACTAACCTTGAAGAATGTTGTAAAAACTGGAGAATTATAATAAATTCCAATAAATCCCATCGAATCACCTTTACCCTTCATTGTCAACCTATGACTTCCTATCCTACAGTATCCTTTAATCACCACTTATCACTACTGAACAAATCCAATACCTAGGACTTCAGCTGGACAAATGTCTCACTTTGAATCCTCATACAAGACTTAAATGACAAGAAACTGCTCCAACGTTTCCGCTTACTCTTAACACTTACTAGAAAAATGCTCTAAACTTCCAATTAATTATAAATGACTATGATAAGACCTCTTTGGACTTACGGAGTTGAGCTATGGGGCTCCACTAAGCCATTGAATTCCTCTCGTATCCAATCCTTGCAATCCAAAATCCTCAATGTTCCGTGTGTTGCCGATTTGGCCCAATCCAGACATCGATCCTTCCATAAAAACTTCATAACCATCCGAATCCTCTCGTTTTTTTCCTTGCTTCCTCTTCGATTCCTGATAACCCTCCGAGGCGTCTGAAAAGAAGATGGCCTAGTGATCTCCTTATGTAGACATATTATTAGAGTGCTACCAGTGGGTAATTTCTCAACAAGTGTTTTCATGTGATTATATTCCTGTGTATACATTTACTTGATGTATTTATATTAATACAGTTGTAAATATCGTGAATTAATAAAAAATCTGGTGTGTCCACTCACACGACTTTTCTACCTATTTCAGAAAAGTTTTTATATCTTTACATATGTCCATCAAGAAACAAAAAAAAATTGAATTAGATTTATTTTCCTGAAAATTGATCAAAGAAGAGATTTGATTATGATTTATTTGATAAATTAAAGCAATGTTAACGGGCTTAAGGTATTTCAGTGTAAACATTTCAATACCTTTTAATATTGCTGATCAAAAACTATTTGCCATAGCCTAATTTTGTCAAACAATAATTTCTGTTAAAAGCAGAGGAAACAGTCAAGCTTGTTAAGCTTACTTTCACTTAGTTATCTTTTTTCTCTCATTTACCCCTTTCTGACGATGTACAAAAATTGAAAGGACCATTATTAGAACAGTATAGGTAAGTTTCATCAAAATCGTTAAAGCCGTTTTCGCGCTAGTCTATAGAAAAACATGTTTTTTATTTATTGCGCATAGAGCACCCAATTTGTGTCATAGGCATCAGTATTCAAAACCCTACAAAATAAAAAAGGAATCAACAAAATCTGTTCACGCAATAGTTAACGAGAAAATCTTGGCAGAGACAGACCAATGGCTAAAAATGTGTTTTTCGGATTCAGAAGGCTCTGAAACGTATAGATCCGTTCAAAACCGCATATTGGCAATTTGACCAGATCGCAATACTTTCCTTACCTAGTGTAGGTAGGAAAGTAAAAAACAAAAATTTGTTTGCATAAGGCACTGCGACCCTCAAGGATCTACTATGCGCCATGTGTTGTTCCGCTTTATTACTACGTTAATTTTGTCACTTTGGTATATTTTAATAGGCTTAGAGGGCTGATGGACTCATAGCTTCTGGCACTCTCCACTCGTTTCTCCCCAAATAGCTCAAGTCCCTGTGCATAAGAAATGGTACTCCTGTTTTAGCCTTTTTGATTTCTACTCTGGTGTAATTTAGTACAAATCCATTACCCACATCTGTGCTGCCTGTCCCCTTCTTTGTTTCGGTGATTGTTATCATAGATGCCCATCCTCCCCTAAGTCGATGACCTCTTCCTCTCTCTCCTTAGATATTTTATTGCCTTTCTCTTCTTAAAACCGTGCATGCAAAAGTAGAACCTGAAAAATTTTAGATCATAATATACAATTACACTTGCTGTGGTCTGGTCCATGGTTACCTCCTTGTTCTCTGATTTAAAACTTAAAACATTCTGAAAGACTGGGAAATCTCAATCATCCCAATTTTTAAGAAAGGTGATACTCGAAAATGTGCCAATCATAGAGGCATTTCGTTGCTGAGTGTCCCAGGTATAATATAATATTAATAAGGTATAATATATAATATACACAGGAAAATAAAGGGGAAGACGAAGAGAGACCGAAGATACGCAACACAACGATCCGAACTACACTAAAGTGAATCTCTCAGCCAGATAATAGAGAAAAGGCAGCTTCGGTAGTTCGGTCATGTAGTGAGGGTGAATGACTGCCATTTAGCGAATGCCATGGAGGCTAAACCAGCAGGAAAATGATCTAGAGGAAGGCCAAGAATTACTTGGGATGATAATCTCAAAAATATTCTCAAAGGAAAAGGAATCTGATGGCCGAAAGCCAGGATAGCAATCTGCAACAGATACAGATGGAACTCTTTGTGCAAAAATCTCTACACTGAAAGATAAAAGAAATCATTAAATAAGAAGAAGATATTTTTTAAAAACTAAAACTTATCAGAAGTTTCATTGAATAGAAATAAAAAACAATACACTGCATCCAATAGTTTTAAGATAGATGTCTTTACTGACTGTTAAAGCTTCACTGAGTTATTTAATTAAAGTCAGTTATTAAAGTTTATTACCATATGTTTTTCTTATTATTAACATTACTGAAAATATTTTCAGCAGAATATACAATGAAGTCATTTTTTTTAACAATTGTAATATGAGAATCATATGCATTATATGTGGTTTTGTAGTGTATATTGTTTAATTTAATTTATCCAATAAATTAAAATATTTCCATTAAACAATATTTTAACAGTGGTATTTTTATTTTCAGAATGCAATAGTATATTTGGTTTTAAGCTTATTATATCTTTTGAGTTCCTCTTTACTTCTTCACCTGCTCAATATGTATGCAGAAAGATACCACTGGGTGCCAAAATGGACGAATCAGCAACTTCTAGTCACTGGTGTGAGTAATTATGAAATTTAATATGTATATTATTAAGTTGTCTTTATTTGTAATTAAGAAAGAAATTATGAGTAAAACTGAATGGAAGCTTTCTACTTAATCAAAGGATTCTTCCAAAATCAGGATCAGGATTCAAAATATGTTGTCTGATAATAGTTTTTTATGTATGTATTATTTTTTTTAATTTGGGCTCCAAAATATTACAACTTAAAGTGTTAGAGTGATTTACCTTTTACAAACATTAATTTTTAGCAAAATTAAACTAAATAAAAAAAAACATTTAGATTACTGATTTTTCAACAAATACAAAATTGAAGAATATGTTTATCTTTTAACCAATCTGCCCGTATATAATATGCAGTCAGTGATGGCCGTGCCTCCACCCTTCTATCCACATTTGTGCGAGCTGCATTTTTAACCCCTCCTTAATCCAATTCCTTGAAAGTCACCAGGAGAAGAAGATGGCTATGATCTCCAATGTTCATTACTAGAACTTTTACTTCTGAAATCATTTACTAGGTACCATTTGAGTTAAATTATTAAAATTAATTCTTGTATTTCTCCAGTCAAAGGACCTTTAAATCACCCTGAGAGGACTGTTTATCTATTATGTACCATTATTTTATCTTTTCAGTAACTTTTACAAAATTGTAAGCTGTATAGTCAATTTGCAGTTCAATCCCAAACTTAATTTTTATTTAAATAAATTAAAATTTGGAAAGCCTTTTCTGTTATCAATAGCTATGATATGAAAATGTTATTGTTTGAGTCTAGAGAATCAATTTGAAAATAATTGTCAATTGTGAGACTTTCTTCTGATTTAAAAGTAATTTTGCATGATCATTTCCATTTTTATATGTTTTTATATTTGTTTAATGTATCAGCTACATAGGTTTTTCCTACATGAAATTATTTTGTGAGGTGTACTTCATGTACAATTAACTTTTCCCATGCATTTTTATTTATAATCTCCACTTTTTCTTTTAATTTTAAAACTTTTTTTTACCTATACTTCATAATGTTTACTAATTTAAATAATCCGGTTTAACCATATAAATTTTCAGTTGTAAACAAAACATTCAGTGGCGACACAGTTACTCACAAAACAAACGATTTGCTATCTACCATTCTCAGATTCAATTAAAATTGTATTCCTGCTATCTGATTATTTAAAGGTTTTGTTCAAGAAAAGAGTAGTGGTTTAGTGCCTGTGCCCATTTTTGAGAGAATTTAGTAATCAGATGTTTCAAATGTGTTAAATATAAATATAATGCTATTCTAGGTTTAATAGCATCCTATATTACCAATTTGGGTTCCTGGACTCCACTATCTATGTCAACGTGTTGTGGACCTCTCCTCTGCATTGGAGAAATTAATTTTATCTTTTACAAACATATTATTTATCTTTCTTCATTGTTATTCTTTACAATTTGACCAATAACTTGCCCAACTTACATTCACTGTGTTGTTATACTTGTTATTTTATGTGATAGGGGTTATGTTGTGTTTGCAGTGTTTATTTATATCTTATTGTGTTTAATCCACACACATTTTTTAATATGGTTAGTGCTTTGGAATGAGTAATAAAATATTGGAGTGAGAGGAGCTTCTGTAACCGGTAGTAAAGTCTGTCATTGAGTCATAACTGTACACCATTATATTGCTTTGATTAATGTGGGTCCTGCAGGATTTTTGTTAATTTTGGTTTTTGTGACTTAAATGCTTTTTCACAATTCATGCAATACATTAATAATTTTTGCAATAATAATTTTTTATCTTGTTAATGTGTGGTAATCAAATTATATATTTTTTTCAGATATTAGGATATGTTTGTGCCTTGGAAGCTTTAGTTCTTTGTGTAGTGAGTAAATGCGAAGGTGGTCAATATTCTCCAGTTGAAGAAGACCCAAGTAGCATGACTTTACAAGAAAGGCATGGAATTACCCGAGACTCTCCTACTCCCACTACACTGCCTTCGGGTCATACTTCAGCCCCCTCGGCTACTGCTCCTCTTTTATATGATGTACAGCCATGCTCCTCTAAACATGATCCCTACCATTTGATGGCATGATACATATATTATGTAGGTGCTTGTATTATTTCATATTGCATTATTTAAAGTATAAGGCTAATAAACAATAATTATTTTAAACATGATCTTATGTATTACATTTTCTTTGATGTGTTTAAAATTAGATCTTTTATAATATTTTTATTCATCTAACTAATCCATGAATTTTAAGAAGCTGTCCCAGATTGCTGAACTATAGATATACATATTAGCTAACCTTGTTAAGTTATATAAATGTAAATCTGTCTTAAGGGTTGTAATCTGTTAGAAATGAAGAGTTAAAACTTCTTTTTTTTTTTAAATGAACATAAAGAAATGAAGAGTTAAAACTTTTTTTTTTAAATGAACATAAAGACTTAATAGTTTTAATGTTGTGGTAGTTATAGCTTGTTCAGGAATATTATTTTTTGGATCAAGGTGAAAAACTGAATTACAAGAATAATTTTACCCTTTTTTATTTATATGTTTCATTCAACTTCAATAAATTCATAATTTTTTTTTTATTCACAAAGTTTTTTGATAGGTTGTATCTTTGGAGACCCATATTAAACAATAATTTAATTTTGAAAAAAGCAACAATGGAAATACGGTCGTATCTTATAACCCTGAGGGATGAAATGTACTTATACAACTACTTAATACTTTAATGACCACAGCGGGCGTATACGCTTACTCATTTACCCAAGCGACCATGGGTATCCACAAACAAACTTTTTCCAGGAATCGATGCGTAGTTAAAACATCCAATTACTTATGAACGATGACAGTTGTGGTTCTTGTGAAAATATCTATAAGTTTGGGTTACGCTTACCTTTTTATTATCATAAAAATGCTTAGGATTTAATTTCATATTGTGTATCATCTTTTTTAAATTTAAATAAATAAGAAAATAGGAAATTATAAAGACTAAACTAACATTTTTATTTTCAAAGAATATACATTTATTTAAAAAATACTTTACTAATACATCGTAGAATAAATTAATTAATATTTATATAACATCAAATCATGGCAAACAAAAATCAGGTTCATCAATACAATCTCTATAGATTGTTACAACTTGTTTCACCTTCTTTTTTTCGAATCTCAGCTTTCAACAGAAATACACATTTTGAGATCCCCTGAGTCCAAATAACCAAGTCCCGCAAATCGGTCCCTGTGTGTGTTAACAGTCTACCTCAAAAACGAAAATTCGTACAAAAGCGAATTGCATATTTAAAGGTTTTTATATGCCTAGGATGTTATAGCAACTTTTTTTGTCAAAATTGGCTAACCGGAAGGGATCATCGATTTAACACATCTTTAAGATTTTCTCAAAAATGGCTCTTACAATTTTGATTAAATTCATTATATCAGTGTAAAATTAAGCAGTTTTTAACATAATGTAGGTTTCATTCTCATTGATTTTCTCTCACAGAGCTTAAATGGCTAATTTTCAATATTAGCTTCCCCTAAAGTACCTTTAATTTTTTTTATTTGAAACAATTAACCATTTCACATTGATCTTTGATATAAAAAATAGTTAAATATAAAATATGAAAGAATTTGATAATTAACTAAAGGAGAAATGAGAGATCGTAACGGAGAATAGTTGTAATGGAGGAACCAATGGAATTTCGAGCTCGCCCAAAAGATTAGAACAGCCTTATGGAAGGTATGGACATAATATGAGCTTAATATAATATGGACTCCAACAGCAGTATGTACATATTCATATGGGGTTTTCATAAATGCTATTGTTGGTATTATTTATTTGCATAGATTATAGCTATATAAATATTAAAATTTGTATACGAGTATATAAGGGTACTTAAACAAATAAAAATACTCACAATGAAATATAAATAAATATAGCATCTATGATCTATACCTTCACGTCCCTCTTGTCTGAAAATACTTATTTCACCTAAGAAGAGGATGGTAAGTGAAAGTTGTATGATGCGTGCACCACACCAGATTTTTTTTCTGATGTTTCTGATAACATCCTTTACAATATTTTTGCATTTTGTTGAACTTGCCTTCTCGCTTACCACATCTAGAGATTAGAGAGATCTTCACCATGATGAAGTTGAAGCTTCTGGTTCTATGGTGATTTCTTCATTTTTCACTAACCCTCTCACCACTTCTTTAAATTCTGTAATTGTTATTTTCCTCTTCCGAAGACTGTTGAAAATTGTCAACGCATTGACTAATGACATTTCAAAAATAAATTGAATTGCTGATTTATGCTGCCATTTCACAGTGCTATGCAAACGAGTACAATGACATTTGATCTGATGTATCACTTGTGGTTTTCTCCTTATATTCGATGACCATCTAGGGATTTAGTCACTTGTTGATCGCTTTTATGTCACACTTCAACAGTTTCTGCTTCGTGTTTTGTTGAAATCATCAACACGTCCCTTTGATTCTTCCGCTTCAAAACTAGGATTCCTCGGTTCGTCTCTTTGAGGTTACCTTTTCTGTTTTATTGAAGTGTGCCCAGAAGATGTGTTTTTCTGTTCAAATAATCGATTCACCAAGTTCACACTGGTATAATTGTTATCCGTAACTTGTTCGTCCCTCATCCGAAAGTTTAGCTGACAAAGCCATGACCACATTTGTGGGTACTACACCATTCGGATCTCTTTCCTCTCCGCCATAAATTTTTCGATTCCAAGTATAACCATGTTCGCTACAAGGTTTGAATATCTTTACTCTATACTTGCTTGTTTTGTTTGGTATATATTGCTTGATTGCCAAACAACCTCTGAATCGCACTAAAGATTTGTCAATACATACTGACTCAGACGGTACTAACAATTTTTGAAAATTCAGGATAAGCTTCTTTTCTAAGTTGGCTAACTTAAACAGTCTTTCATCTGGGGGACAGTTTTGGAAAAGTGATCATTTTAAGCTGTTTCTTGCCTTGGTAGGTGGAGCAATCTCATTTTTGTACAATAGTTCTTTACTCGAATAACGATTTCTGGTCCAGACTAATGTACGAAATGAGACCTAAAAAGTTTCTCATTTGTTATTGACAACTTGAATTTTGAAGATCTTACAAGTTCATCCAACATTTGAGTGGCATATCTATTTGTTTCCTCCACCATCATTGAAAGAATATCTACATCTGAAAAACTTGATAGGGCGTTGCATTTGATAAGGTTTCTTTGAGTTCACTTGGAATGCCTGAAATTACTTCAAAATCAAATTTCATTTGACATCCCTGGAGATCTTGCCTCTGAATGTTGAATGATTCGCTTATCATTTCATCGATTTCGTCTACCGGATCTGCAGTGATAGTTATTGTATTAGAGGTCAATAGTGCAGAAGTTGTCATTGTGTTCTGTCTTTTACGACTACTTATTTCTTCATCTTTTGACATTGATAATAGTTCTTGATTTGTAATAAAATCAGGATCATCTGATAGATTATCTGCAATTACAATAACATTTTTAAAAATAAATAACTTATAAAACACTAAAGTTCAATATGCACTGTATTTACTTGATGTACTAAACAAAATTCTGTTCCTCTGAAGAAGAGGTAAGCAATTGAGCAATTATTGCAGTTCAATTTTGAGTGAAAGGGTGGTTGTAAGGGGGTGAACAGAGTTACATGACCGATTCCTATCGGTTTTGAATAGGGAAAAGGGAAAGTATAGCCGTACTTTACAGTATACCTACGAATGGTAAAAACACATTTTCCTTGAATATAAATGTGAATTAGCATTTATTGGTTGTATACAGCATCTAAGTAAACATATTTTTTTGTTATAATACAGCTATTTTTTGTTTAAATTTCCAAAAATAATCAAAATATTATTATATACACGTATGAAATTGCTAGGTATGGTAAAAATGGTATGGAAAAAAATTATAATATCTCTTGGACAATGGAGGACGTATACGCCAACTTCGTTTTTCTTTCTTTTTTTTTGAATTATCGCGATTAGATTATTTTTAAAACTTAAAAAAATGCATAACATTTTTTTTAACAGTATATTACAACTTTTGAGAGAGAAAAAACAACCTGGTCCACAGAGAAAGTTTCACTTGAATGGCTAGGTCATTAGAGTGTTAAACACATTTATGAATTATGAGTGAAGTTGAAATCTATGAATATTAAAATGTAGTATAGAGTAGTTGGGTGCCTTGCACACCCAAAAGAAACTCAAGACCCTTCTGACAATACATTTGTATAATTTTTGGATGGGTATGTGAAATTTACTTGCAAGGAAGGAGCTGTAACATGCAGAAAGCACCTGACTACTACATGTTTCAATATCTTATACGCCAATTTCACTAACAATTTACTTATATGTTTAAGTTAATATGCAAGCACAGTCCATTTCTTATGATGGATGGATTTATAAGACAGGGTATTATTTCTTTAGCCAGTTTTAAAAAAAATTAAATTATATATTTTTTTAGCTTCTCAAGTGTTGGCAATTTATATTCATCATGTATGATCATGAACTAACACATGATATTATATGTTACGAACAAAAAGTCAAGAATATTTAAAATACAATTAAATGCTTTTTCACTAATTTGTGTCTATACAATCTCACTAAGTAATTTAAGCCATCAAATTTACAAATTGATAGTTGCTTGCTCAAAAAAATCGTTACATAGCTTCAAACAAACATATTTAACACATTAAATACTATAATGTGTTAGTTAGATTTTGTGCTCGAATTATTTCTAAACAAGGGGATTTCACTTAATAATATAAGTTATCAAAGTTAAGAATCGTTATCTCAAAACATAGTTAAATTTTTTTACTTAATAGTTATGATCAAATTATACACCTCCTTAGGGCTTCACCATAGTCTGGTAAAAACTAAATATTTCTGAATGTTTTCAACCATATATTTTCATTTAATTGACTAAGTTATATCTTTTGTTTCACAAATTCTACATTGCATGCGATTTTGTAATAGTAACTCAATTTATTGTGTTATTTTCACTCTTGAATGTGTGTACGCTACAGATATCTCTGAACATACCTTTAAAGTACTCATTTACATCTTATTTTTAACAATTTATTACATAAATTGATAGCCACTGAGAATGTCCTGTTTATTTATTTGCATGATACTCTTGGTTAACAATAACTCCAAGGCATGTTTATGTTGGATAACATTACAAATCACATGCTCTGATACTATCAGTTACTTACAATGTACTATAGACTAAAGTCATCTGCTTTACAAATTGGTACCCCCATGTGTGGAAACATTCAAGTTTGTGTGATAGGAGTTAAGGGATTTGGATATTCCTGATCAGATACACTATAAGTCAAATAAACCATATACTAACAAAATCTGATAAAATTTTTTTTATTTTTCAATAGTAATCAATTAAATTAAAGGGTGTTGGATGTGCATACAGAGCATTATTTTATAATATCCAAGATGTGTCTTTTATATCATTGATTCATTATTGGCGCAACAGACGAATGTAGCAGACCTTGGCCTGCTCAATTTCCTTTGCCCAGTCATCCCTGTTTATCGGTAAAAACTGCTATTGACTGTATAAGTAAGGGAATTCTATTGGTGATAAGTAAAATATTTGGTTAAACTGATCGCTATATTTTGATATCTATTATAATGTTTTCTTTATTTTCATTATCTATTATAATGTTTTTTGGTGGTGTCGGCATCGAACATTCGGGTTCGCTAAGCCTTTTATTATTATTATAATGTTTGAGTTAATGAGGCCGAATCTATTACAATATGGGTTAATATGTTACTAAATTTTGGTCTGCTTATCATAAACTATTGAAGTTAAGGTGGATTAAGTGGGTGGTGGCTAAAATTTAACTGATAGGGCTTCTTTCTGACATTTCCTCTCTTCTCCCTTCCAAGGCTTTGGGCCCTTTGCTGGGCCACTAGAGTCTACTATTCCATTTTCTTCTTATGAAACCAATTTTAATTGGTTGTTGGCCAACTGTGTCTCCTGTCTTACATTGACCTGAATGCTGCAAACAGGATGCATGTCCATACCCTATATCTCTTGCTCTTTTGCCTGCCAAGTGATAACAGCAGGATTGCTTGCTTCAATTTGAATGAAATAAAATGGAAACTTTGATGTGTTCCCTAAACACATTATTTCTGATTATTTTGAAATTATGATCATAGTGACATAAATGTTCAATGTGTTTGTGATCATATCTGTTATCATTTGATAATGCTCTGGTTTCTCTATAAATTCGATATTTTTTATCAATAGGAGTAATAAAAAATCACCATTCTATTTTGATTTATTTGCTTACTGGTTTTCGTATCTTTCGCATTACATTTGTTCCATGCATATTTATTTATATTATTTTGTTTTTTATTATTATTTATATGTTTAAGTATCTAACTAAATCTAGACGCGTGCTAATAGAATTGAAATAAACAATAATTTTATTTTATTTGTATTCGATGTTTACTAACAGTGTAAGTTCAAGTGAGCTCGGTCTTTTCTTTATTTTCTATTTGTATCCTCTTAGTATTAATCTATATTTATATCACTAGTGAAATTAGATTATTTATAGTGTTGATACATTTTTTCTATTAAGGCGATAGTAGAAATATTTTTTTACAAAAACTGTCACTCGATAAATTAAGCTATGATTAAAATTAATGGTATATGCCATCTTTATTTATCTTTTTGAGTAAATAAATTTGATTATTTAAAAAAATATATATAAAAATGGCCACTGGTCCACTTTATTTTCAATTAGGCAGGTCAAGGGTTTTCTAATTTAAAAAGAATGATATATTCTTTCTTTAATTGTCTTGTATCATTTTAGAATTTAGTTTCACTTTGTAATTTTTGTTTGTTTTATTTTTAGGAAATCTTTACGGAGCACTGCCATTTATTGACCTATTGAATCAGTCACTGCCTGTTTAAAAAATAAAAGAAATAAGTTTATCATCCTTGCCATAACTGTAAATACTTAGATCATTGCTCATTACAGTCAAGTGAGAGAAACAATTAGTTGGTGATTACTTTTAATTTGTTGATAAAATATGTTTTAGTTTAAAATTATATAGTTAGTAATATTTATAACAAAAACTGAAAAAAAAGTTTTCAGTTAGTTACTTTCAAAATATTTAATTTTATTCTTAACCCATCAGTGTCCAGAGTTTTTTATTTTAAAAAATACCAAACTACCAAAATGGAATTTGATTTTAAATGAAAAAACAATTAGTCATTCTATACTTAAGTGATCCCTTTACAGTTTGAAAGAACGCTTATATGGCAATGTTCCTGGTCAGTGATGGGTTAAGAAAGCAGTTTTTGAATGTTACCAATCATTTAGGTTGGTTCTAAAGTAGTAATCACTTAGACAACTCTTAAATTATACTTTACTTAATTTTAAATAATCTTTTACTTTTCTACGTTACTGCCTCTTTTCTTGTGCTTACTAACTCATTCACTCAATACTTTTATGTATAAATATATATATTAAATATAATGACATATCTGTTATTGTGACGAATAGTTCCACCAAATCCACATTTTTTATAGCTTTAACGGTATGTTTTTTATCAGTTATATCAATTGCGCTTAAATAATGTTTCTCTTGCTTTAAACCAATGTTTTAAAAGGGAAAGGTGATCCATTTCCATTTAGTTTGATTATTTACTCATTAATTTTATTAGTTGCTGCTGTTTTCAAAATGGTAGACAAGTATCAGCTTAGCTATAGAATTGAAAATAAGTCTCTCTACCAATTCTTTATTTCAGAAAAACGGATGCTTAATTGAAGATCTAGTTAAAGGAGCTTCCTTAAATGTAACTAAATACCATTTACCTCCCCAAAAAAAACTTTGAGCTATTGCTGAATGAAAAGTTTTCAAATCAAAAGAAGTCCCAACATTTCTCTCTCTGATCCCTGGTTTTGCTGTGATGATGCCTCTATCTATAGGTAAAAGCATTGATTGGTTATCTATTAACTGTTACTTCAGAGACATAAGGCTTTGTGTTGAAATCTTCCAATAATAACCTAATATTAAATTATTTGAATCCTAGGTTTCTTCCTGTGCAGGTTCGTAGGACTTATTGTTTCTACCTACCCACTAGTGTCATGGGGATTGCTAGGTTTTGCATCTGTTATTTATATGGATATTTAGTTATTCTTCTGACAACTATTTTGTACTCACAAGATCAAACTGCTGTTCCTAATTACTTTGGAAATTAAAACTAGGTAGTAGATGTTCTAGCAATCAAAAATTTATTCCACAGTTTTTTCTATATGTTACCAATAAGTTAATTCTGTTCGATTATTTAATCCATAATAGTATCATCCCTGTAATATTTAATTTTTTTTCTTACCATATTTTTATTTCGCATTGCTCTTTTTTATATTTTCATTACATTTTTAAAAATTAAAGTAAAGAATATCATTATTAATGTAACATAGATTTGATCAACTTATTGAACTTTATGAACTATTATTATTCAGTTTATTATAGTGTAACATAAGTTTGATCAACTTATTGAACTTTATAAACCATTATTATTCAGTTTGTTATTGCAATACTTACTAAAATAAAATTTTAATAAATTAGTAGTAATAATAATGATGAATAATTATATTTAAAACTTTATTTGAGTGAATGAGTTAGAGAAATATTAGGTTTGTTCATCTTCACCAGAAATTGATAGTATAGTTTTATTAGTTACGATATCTTATTAGTTCCTATTCTTCATCTAGTCATAATTTATTGATTTCTTATTATAACCTTTGTTAAGAGGGAAATAATTATTATTTTCATTTTATTTTCTACAATCTAGTCATAATACAAAGACTTCAATTATTTAATTTATGTTAATGTTAAGATTTTTTATGTACATTCCTACTTAGTTATTAATTATCTGTTATAATGTTTCTTAAAATTCAGCTTATGTGATTTTAAATTATAGTAATTATGCTAAAAAAATATTTCAATTATGTTTACCTCAACTCCAGCATTTTCAATCAAACAATTTTATATTAAATCATAACTTTTTTTTATTACTTACTTCCTCTCTCCTTTATATTGTTTCTTAGTATTGTTTATAAAATGGTGACATTTCTGTATAAACGTTTAACTGAGCATGTATATTTTGCCTTAACCTATATATAGCAAATTATCCATTTCCCCCAAAAAGTTGAATTGTTATAAAAAAAAACAACAAAAAAACTCCCTATTTCTGAACTTCTTACTCAATGAAGTACTTACTTCAGTGATATTGTTGATAATTAATAATATTTTATGATCAAAAGAGATTATTTACCTAAAAGTTGCTTTCTAATGACATTTCTCTTTTTTCTTTATTTTTTTAAGATTTCGCATTGATTTTTATGTTTTCAATATTGGAAAATTAATTAATTATATAAATTATAATGTTAAAAGTGATAGTTTCTAACAAAAGTAAATAAATAAATAAAAATAAATTATGTTAGATTACTGAATATATGTACATAAAAATAGTTATTTATATTTGGGAATGTACAAACTATGAGGCTATACTGAAATTACTAAGATCTACTTTTCTCATATTGTGAAAATAGCGAGTCATTATATATTAATGTATATAAATTATAAGAGGTTTTCTCTTGTCTAGAAATATGTTTAAGAATATTCAATTATGTCCTGACTCAATTAGTCATGGATATTTCTTTTCTGAATAATTTAGGTTGATTTTCGTTTGTGATTTATTGCTGTAATGAATGGTTTGGTATTTTGGTGAAAATATTATTTATGTGTTTGAGAGAAATAGTTCTAGTGTTAATATTGTCAGCCTTGATGTGATTACTTTTATATCATTGTATTAAATGGTTCACAAATTTTCATATATTATGTTTTTTTATTGATATTTAGACATTTATCCATTTATTGCTTGGTTGTTTGGACCAATATTTGAGGTATTTTTTGTATATTTTTTTTTTTCAATTTTTCTTTCTTCGATTCCAAACAATGTACTCAATGAGGTTTGAGTATTTGTTTTAATTAGTGTTTTGTACAAAGGGCATTTGTTCCCTTAGAGCATGCTCATACATTTTTGTCAGTGCTTGTTGGATCTTGCGATTTATTAATTTTTATAGTTTGAATTGTACTTTGCCCAAAACAAGCTTAGGTTATTTTATAACTGTAGGTGTGACAACCTTTCTTGGGTTATGTGAGTGTAGATCTATATTTTTTGTATTTTAGATTTTTTAAAAGAAATAAAATAAGGCTTATTTAAATTAAATGTGAAATGGTGGTTGTACAAATTATGGTATATATACTATGTGAATAGTACTTTTTGAAATAGTAATTGTGCTACACCAATTGAGCCTGTGATTTTAGCCAGGTTAAGAATATTGTATATTTACCATACAATGTTTGTGTTAGTAATGTTATAACTTAGCATTACTCAATGAGTACAATTTGCTTTACAATTATCATTTATGTTTTTGTAATAAAATTTAGACAACATCTAGTCTTATTATTTTAATTAGAAATTTCACACTTTAAATATTGTTTTAAAAAACTAAACAAAGACTGTTAAATTATTAAAGTGTATTAAACCTGAGCTTTAAGTTGTATCGCTTACTTAAAATAGTAATTTCTGTCTTTTAAACAATTACAGTTATGTTATATTTTAAAAAGAATATCTAATATTTGTATTCATAAATGTACAAAGTAGCAATTGATTTGTAAATAATATATTTTTTTTTGCCATATGGCTTTTTTGTTTCTTTATGTTGTTACAAGTGATGCTGATATTTAAAATCAAATCAGCCTTATTTTTTAATTAACACTCATAAAATGAAAGTCAATATTGCAAGAAAGTGAATAAAAATTGTTTGCTTAATTTATGGTTTGTTGTTGTTTTTTTATACCCATTTTCAAGCATGATAAATCCTTCCTATTCCATCGATTAAAGGACATTACATATAACTAGTTGAAATTTGTAATTTCTAAATGGGAATGAGTTATTCACTTTCTGTTAAAATTGATTTTTATTACTTAAACTGCGAGCACAAATGTTTTAAATAAATATTTTAGAATAAGAGCAAAATTCCTTAATTTATGAAGGACATATTTTGATTAAAAAAATTATGTAAATAAAGTAATCAAAAAGACTAATAGATAAAATATATATGTACATTTTCCCTTGTAGTTTATGTATAATGAAGTAATTAAACGTTTCATTTCATACTTAATTTTGTTTTGTTTTTAATTACTATTTATACCTATATTCAATTAATAAAGTAATTTAAAAATGATAGTTTTTGTTCTTTGATTTTTATGTCAAGTTGCATCTCATTTGGAAATATACGCTGTTCTAAATAAATATTAAATTTGAGTTTATTAGCTATATTTAATTTTTGAAAAATATTCTATACTTTTTTTTCTCTCAATTTACTTGAATAATATTTATAGCTGACATATGTGTGTGTTTTTTTTGATTTCTGGGTAGGGGAAAAATCTTTCAGAAGATGGAGTGCACCACCCAAAAAGTTCACAGTAGTGTGAGGTTCCTTCTGACTAAAAAACCAACTCCAATTCTTCTTTGCCACCCCACAGAACTGCTGTCAAGCATTATTTGCAGAGGAAATAAGGGCTATATTCCTTACTTATTCTTTTGACATCTTATTATAGCTAAGCCATTGCCTGTCCTCCCTTTTCTTGCTCTTATGCTCCTAGCCTTTTGCAGATTTGTGCTGCATAGTCTGCTGCTGTACTCCAATTCTTTTGTCTAATCATCATCAAAGCAGCAATGTTTTATGGGGATGGTTTTGTTTTGAATTTCTTGTCCAGCTTTTCTTGTCTCAAGCAAAATCTGAACAGCAGAAATTCGTTCTTCTGTTTCATCCACGGGATCACAAGTTGGGCACGATGATTTATTCTCTATTTTGAAACGGGCTAAGAAGACCCTGAAGCAACCATGCTTTGTAAGCAGTTGGGTGAGGTAATAATCTATCTCCCTTTATTTCCGGGATATCCATGTTAATTAATCAGGGATCAGACAGTGTGTCCATCTTCCAGAAGACGAGGCATTCCAGCGTATCTGCTATCTTTCATATTATTCCAGAGTATTATTTGTCTCTTCTTTTGCTAAAGTAGCCCAGTGAGAATCCTCTTCTCAATTTCTTTGGAACACCAAAAGATCGATCAGAGGCATATCTGCGATGACGCATATTAATAGCTTTATGGACATAAAACTGCACTTGGCAGCGTTCTCCCCAGATCGGTGCTGCTTTCAAAAGCATGGAATTCGCTACATTAGTTAGAGGCTTTCTCTGATTTTCCCTTGATTCACCAATATTCTGGCACTGGTAGCCTGCGCATCGTATCATACATAATATTCCACAGCAATGGCCCTAAAACTGAATCCTGAGGAACACCACCTGTGGTCTTGTAACTTTTTAATGCAGCTTCTGTATCATACCTTTTTTTTTTTTTTTTTTTTTTTTTTGTTCTTCCCTACCTCGCCTTGTAGGCTATACGGGATTTTCCCGGGCCGGGGGGTGAGGGCGGGGAATTTAAAATCCCCTCCGGCACTGGGACGCGAACTCGTACTTTTTATATCATCTCAAATCTCTGTTATCCGGTTGCCAGGCAACTAGCGGTGTTGTGCACACGCTTTAGCCTATTCGGCCACCCCGCCCCCTTTGTATCATACCTTAAGATTCTATTGGTGAAATAACTCAATAATCATTATAAGGTATTGTGGGACTTCCATCCTTCAGAATCCGTCCAAGGTACAATCCCACCGAGCTCAATCAAAAGTATTCTTAACGTCTAATGTTATAATGGTGCAGTACTTCTTACCACCTTTTTCCTGCAATGGCTTCCCGAGTATAGAGTTATACACATCTAAGAAGAGTTGTGGCCTTGACCTAATGGCCATTTTCAAGAGAAGATTTGGGACATTATACGGGCCTGGAGTTTTGAAATCCGCTATTTTCCTGCATGCTGTGTCTAGTTCTTTCTCAGTGATTTCCAGCACTGGTTCCAAATCTGGCATCGCTATCTTATCAATGAGCACTTCCGAGTGTCTTAGAAAAATCACTGCACTATTTTTTCTAACAATTCTGGAGAGCTCAGGGATGACAATTTAGAACTTTCGAGTTTGGTCATGACCTATATGTGTGTGATACTGTTAATGGGTGTATATATATTAAAAATTTGACTTTTTATTTAATCTATCATAGAAAAACTCTAATTTGAGTGTTTTCTTAGTTACTAATGTGATGCTATGAATTTAGTGAAAGATTGACCAGTATATTGGGATTTTAAAACATTGTGCTGGGAAAATAGCAGGATCCTTTTTTAAAGTTAATACTAAGACATCTGGTGCAGTGCACACATCACATA